TTCAGGACCAGAAGCTAAAAGTTCAGAAAAACAGAGAATTACAGTTTTCCCGGGAGACCCCTCCGAGTTCTGGAACCCGGGCATATAACGGTCTTATTTCTTCACGGAAGGCTGGACACGTCGTCCCAATACCCTTCCTGGTTCTAGGGATTCGTGTTTTGACGATTGTAGCGGCACAATCGTTACAACTCGGAATGGTCTTCTGATTGTTGTTTTCTATTTCAATCTCGATCTGTATCGCACAATTGCCGATCACCGTATTTCTCAACGAATTCTGCTGTTGTGTTTTTTTGACGTTTCGTTTGTTGCAAAATCTCAAATCAATACCTGGCGTTCATGCTGAAATTGAAAATTTAAAAATCAGAATGTCAGTCCCAATTAACCATTTCTGATTCGTTAAACTGAACAATTCACACCGTTAACTCGTAAAAACCATCAATCTTCCCAGTCAGAAGCAACAATAAAAGTTCGAATCCAAATTTGCCTTTTAACACATTCTGGTCGAATGTCACAATCAAAAAGAAATCTAATTGGTTCATATGAAAGAAATCTAACTGTTTTAAAAACCTGAAGATGAACAAAAATGTGCAAAAACGTTTGTTTGAATTTACAATTTTAACGCATACCCTATCACAGCTGAGATAAAAAGTTCAATTCAATGAACCAGTTGTCACAAATGTTGCTACAAAAGCAGTGACTCCTCAATTTTGGTAAGAAAAACGTCTTTTGGAAGATTCTATTTTCAGTCTCTTTAATTTTAGTAGAGAAACAACTACGGTTTTGGGCAAAGTACAACATTCGAAATTAGCCATTTCATTCCGCATCATAATAACAAATTCCAAACATAGCTGATCCCTTAGTTGTCTTTTGTTCGAGATATACGATTATTTTGGTTCATCCTGAGCTTTAACACTGAGAAGAGCGAACTTTGTTTTTTGGGACCGACTACTAGTACACAGTATAATTCAATTTTAACACAATTTCGAAAAATTTGCCCCAAAATAAAAATAAAAACAAAAGAAGAACTCCTCATTTTAGGATCTCCAATCGGCGAACTTTGCCGAAAAAAATTGCTCGACGGAAAAATTAAGGAGCTTGAAAAAATCTCGGATATCATTGGCAAACTAGACGCCCCTTATAGATTTTACCTCCTGAAAAAAATTTTTAGCATGCCAAAACTTCTATATTTTTTGCGTACGAGCCCTTGTTTTTTGCAAAATGATTTTTTGGAACGCTACGGCAGTTTACTAAGAAAAGAGTTATGCTGGGTCACTAACGTGATAATGGATGATAACCAGTTTTTACAAGCAGTTCTCCCAGTTGCTATAAGTGGCTTGGGCGTTTCTTCCGCTCGTCTACTCCCTTTACCCGCTTTCTTAGCCTCAGCAGTAGGAGCAGAAGATGCCTGGAGTGGAATCTTTGGTTTGGAGCATGTGGATGGAACCTATGATGATGCGCTTAAACGGTGGTTTGAACTTGGAAAAATTGAAATGGCTCCGGAAAATGAAACCCAAAAAAATTGGACGGAGCCAATTTTTGACAGCAAAAATGCAGACTTGATTTTTTGACTCGAACCAACGGACGTAAAACGATTCAACGCTTTCCAAGATAGATTTGGCTCCCAATGGTTGAACGTCATCACGTGCAAACGTTTAGGGTTAAAACTGTTTAACCAACAACTCAGAATTGCGATAGGACTTCGATTAGGCTCAAAAACATGCGAACGGCATAAATGAGTGTGCGGAAAAGTTGTTACCGAGGATGGTTGGCATGGTCTTTCTTGCCTCAAAAGTGCAGGGAGATTCTCTAGACATTCAAACCTGAATGGCCTTATAAAGCAGAGTTTATCTTCTACTCACATTCCGTCTGTTTTAGAACCACTACACCTCTACAGGACCGATCAGAAGAGACCAGACGGTTTGACGCTCGTTCCATGCAGGGAGTTCAAACTCAAACTCAAACAGTCAAACATCAAACTCAAACTATTCCTTTCAAACTCAAACTCAAACTGTAGACGTCTATATTCTCAAACATCAAACTCAAACTCAAACCCTGCCTGTTTTTGTGTAGGATTTTTTCCGTAAGAAAATCGCGCATTATTTTTTAATTCCGTGGATCTTTGACATTCTATTACATCAGGCATTTCGAATCGGAGTCGAATAATCGGTTCGAATAATTTCAGTGCTGTGAATGTCGGGAGAGAATGCTAATGATGCAATCCTGCGCCAAGAATGGAAGAAGCCGACTTCTATAAGCAATTCAGTTCATGATTTTTATTTGGTTGATTATGTTGGTGGACTAAAAAAAGATCGCCGGAAATGTATTAGATGCGGTATTATTATTTGTGCCAAAAATAGTGGCACAACAACGTTGAAGAGGCATACCACTACTTGTAGAAAACGTTCCGCTAAAGAATTGTCTAATCAATCATTAGTCGATTTTGTTCGGTTGCCAAAGCGTGAATCTAAAAAAGGCCTAGATGAAGTAGCAAAGACGGTTTATCGGTATCACATCCCGATAACACGAGCTGTCAACTGCGACGTATTTCAGACTTGGTATAAACGAATGGGGTTTGCTAACGTTATATATAGTTCTGTAAATGAAGAACTGAATGCCCAGTATGAGTCACTTATGAGCAAAGTTAAGCAAATGATACGAAACAGAGACAACAAAGCGATGGTAATGATATCTTTTGACAAGTGGACGTCCTCTGATTATAAAAAGTACTTGGGTGTTTACATATACATTAATCGCCTGCCTATTATGCTTGGTTTGCTCCCATATGTGGGCTTTTGTGGAGCTGAGGAAGTCGGTATATTAATCAAGAATCTACTTGAACAGTTTGGCCCTGGAGTAGCTGACGTTCATCTCGCAGTAACGGATTGTGGATCCGACGTCCAGGCGGCGTGTCGGGTGTTAAATTTACATAACTTCCCGTGCTTGGCCCACGTTATCAATTTGATTGTAAAACGGTTTGTAACAGGATTGACAGGGGATGTAACACGAATGGCTGATGAGCAGGTTACTGCTGAATCCGATGACGAATACAGTGAAGACGAAATAATCCCACCCACTTTGCAATTCTGTGACGTGATTGAGAAGGCGAGGCAAATCACAGCAAAAATTCATCGCACCTCTTCGCTGCAGGATAAAATCCTTCAACTTCAGAAAACTTTGAAGTTACGAGAAGTTAAAGTAGTGGTTGAGAACGTTACCCGATGGAATTCGCTTCTGTGTATGTTGGAAAGGTTTCTATCTGTAAAGACGGAACTTCTTGCCGTATTTCCTAATGAATTGGATGAATACGATTGGACACGATTATCGAACATCATAAGCATGTTGAAACCATTTCAGGTAATGACAAAATTTGTTGGTATATTCTTACCATAGAATAAAACATGAATATGTAACATAAAATGTGTGTCAACCAAATTAATGTTTTAGCAGTGCACTCTACGCCTACAACATGCCGATGCTGATGTAAAAGACGCTAGAAAAACTATTGTGTTCCTTCATCATATGGCAGGCAAAGATGAGGCCGTCGGTTTTGCGTTTGAATCAGTGTTGGGGAAGTGGTTAAACCAGAACAGTGTAGTGAACGCTATTGTTAACGGGTATGGAGAATTTTACGATAAAATGAAATCATTGTCTGAAATCACACCTATTGCCGATGATCATGATCATGGATATTCTGTACAGCCAACGCTGGACTTTGACGCTTTTAATGTGGATGATGATAAACAATCATTCGATATAGACGTGGCCATGAAATCGTTCAGACCTACAAGTGCCGACCCAGAGAGGCTTTTCTCTTTGACAAGAATTTCTCGAAACTTTTTGCAAAATCGCATGTTGCCCGAAAATCAAGCAAGAAATGCTTTCTTGAATAAAAACTGCTATCTCTTTAACTGATTTACTTCTGTTACTTGTTAATTGCTACTGTTGCTAATTGTTACTGTTAATTGCCAATAAATGGTAGATTTTTGTTGTTTTGGTTTAAATGCAATTTGGTCATTTTCAATAGAATCTACGCAAAAAACGGTGTATGTCATGCCAAGGTTAAAGACATGAAAATTGAGTGTCAACATAAAAAATTCAAACTCAAACTCAAACATCATTTCACTGTTTGAGTCAAACTCAAACATCAAACTCAAACAGAATTTACTCAAACTCAAACTTTAAAATCCAATGTTTGAATTCCCTGGTTCCATGGGCTGTTGGTAAGCAGCTATTGTGGGATGTAACGGTAGTAGACTCCTTAGCTCCTTGTAGAATTAATGCCGGGTCTGTTTGTAACCCTGGTACGGCTGCCGCTGAAGCGGAAGAGCGAAAAAATGGTAAGTATAAAGATCTTGTAGATGGTGGATATTTCTTTTTCAACCGCTAGCATTTGAAATTCAGGGCGCGGCCGGCCCCAGCACAATTTTTTTGGAGCAAGCTTTGTAAGAACCTAAGCATATGCACCGGGGAACCCAGAGCAGGCAGTTTTTTAAAACAGAGAATCTCCCTGGCAATACAGATTGCGAACGCCGCTTGCGTACTCGGAACAATAAATGAGCAAATAACTTTGGACGAATTTTTTTATTTGTAACAATTGTATATTATATATTGAAGAAACGTAACCCGTATGGATTTTAATTGAAAAGGACTTAAACACTTGTCATCTTCTGATATCATTATCATTTCCATATCTTGAAAATTCCCAGGATTTTGACTGGAATACGTGATGAAGGGACTCCTGACTGTAACCTCGGTTACTATGATACTTTTGACCTTTTGGTTAATCCTGTTTTTCTTCACCGTCTTACATTTTTTTCGTTTCTTATGTGTTATGTTTGTTGTATCGCAAATGGTGCAAAGCTCTGCTTCGCCTCTTGTGTTGTGGAGGTTGTTATTGGCACATGCTGCATGATTTAGACTTCAATGTTGGTTTGATAATTGTCGAGCTGTGCTGAAAAAAAAACATTTCTCATTTCGATAAAGCTTTTGTTTTCAGATTGACTGCTCTTCTTAATTTGCCTACCAGATTTTTAGAAACTTCAGTATATTCAAACAAAATTGTCTCAACTGCATTGTCTTTGTTTCTGATTTGGTACATGATTTTAAGAAGATAATTGTTTGAAAGGACTAGTTTGGCGCTAAATTATTTGGTACCATCATTCTTGGAAGAATTGAAATTGTAGTGCAAAAGTAAAATGTTAAAAACAATTTATCACGATTTCAATCCATCGATCAGCCTTCTCATGCCAGTCTATCCTAGGTCAAAGCCGCTCAGGCTGTTTATCTCCTTGGAGACTATGAAACGACTGTTCCTGACAGAAAACCCCGATTAGCAGCATAACTTTCAACATAGTTTTTTCAAAAAAAAAGTTTCAATTCCAATTACGCCCGTCCAATCCTTGTGTGCCAGTGTCCCTTGGTGGGACAAGTTTCTGATCCTAACATAAGATTGACAAGTGTTCGATTAGAAAGACAGCGTTATGTGCAACCAAAGTGTTCTAAATTTCCTCAAGCAACTTGATTGGTATCCTTCTAAAGAAACAAAATTAACCTGCATTTGTGGTTGGAGTCTGGCGGCAAACATCAGTCTTTCAGTAGCTCTCCGAGACCACGCTGTTAGAGCGCCACACTGCACTTCAGCTAGGACCGATCTTGGTAAGAGGCTGAAACTCAGTTTGCTCATGTTTTTCCACCACTCCCAGCGGCAAATCAAGAATGTACCCTTTGCAATTGTATGGGCTCTTTTGAACTTTGTGCGCTCAGATGTCGAGAACGAGGTGAAATGTAACAGTTGTAGCAAACGCGAGTCATTTGATGCTGTTTTTTGTCACGATATTTTGCTTGCATCCCACGAGATATGTTTTCGTCAACTAGGAATACAGAATTCATTTATTACTGAATTTAAAGAGGAGCTTCTGAGTGAACGAACAATGCTCTCCTGGTGTAGCAAAATGAGTAGCAAGATGCCAGGTGAGCTGCAAGTGACGAGACCCATCTATCATAACTCGTACCGCCTAGATCCTGATTTCGAGTTCCCAAACATCGAAAACTACCCTGTTGAGGCTCCAATTGGAAATGCCAATGTGAACATAACCTACCATGATGCTCTAAATCGGCAAGTTAATGAACGGGTCTTTTTTGAGAAGGCACTGAGAGAAATTGAAGACCATCCGATAAGGAGCCGATCTGGCTAGAACTCAGCAACGTAAGGTTGAAAAAAGCTTGAAGTAGCTTGCGTTGTCCGAAAAGTTAATTTTGTATTTAAAAAGTAACAAAAACTCAGCGAGAATGATATTTTACAACGTATCTATTTGTTGCGCTGCTGCATTTCTCTTTACAGTTGAAAATGCGTTTTGTATTGGCATGAACTTAGTTAGCTAAAACTTACGTTTCAACCTCTGCGTTTTGTTTAAAATTTTGAGCCGAGGGCGCTGAAATGGATTCGATCTCACGTCGCATGGTTGAAATTTATTCATCCTTGTAATGATTTCCGTTGTTTTTACCCATGTTTTTCTGAATCTTCTGTTTTTTTTTGTAACATAATATGAAGTTGGAGGTTTACCCTTCACAGACCTTTCTCTCTTTCGAAGTGGTAGCCTTATTAACACAAATCGCTTTGATGCTTGCTTTTATTAAATGATATCAAATAAAAAAAAACTGCTTCATGTTACTAGTTTATTGTTTAGACAAGGATAAATTGAGTGCTTGGTGAATCTGATCCAAAATATTACATGGAAAAATTTTGTAATTATGTTTTATAAACTATCTGAGGGCAAAGTATTTTGGATCAACCACTTTTGTTTTACCTTTTTGGAGCACCCAAAATTGTATTCCGAAGCTCGTTTTGACGAAAAAGCGTAACGTTTTCTGCGTGAATATAGTTTTGTCGTCGAATTGAATTTATGCAATTGATTAAATTCATGCCTCTGTGTTTTTTGCTGATGAATCTATGCCCCGATTAATTTAATCGGTGCTTTCTGTGTGTAATCAGTCTCATATGAATCAGTTTTATCCACGTGGAAGATACATTAATATCGTTTATTTCCTTGATTTCAAAGATATTGCACATTATACGAGCTCAATTTTATTTATTTTTGGAATGTGTGCTGTTAGTTCATCTGACGTCTCATGGAGTGATTAAAAACGGGGATTGCAAATTGTGTATTCAAGAATTTATCCACCCGTTGTTGATGGTAGATTTTAGCTAGGTGAATATTTCTAGCGAAAGTATAATCAATACAAAAGTATAATACAATGAACTTTGCTTAAATCACGCCACTGATCAATATTATTATCTTGCAACTGATTATAACACAATGTCTTCACTGATTAAATGAATATCGAAGTTCTGTATGGTACAATTTTTCCCTTGCCATAAAAAAGGGTGTTGCAATCGGGTACTAGACTTTTTTTCCCAGAATGGTCGAAATTAAAGATGGCAAGTTTAGGCTCAGTTCCTGATAAATTCAAGCTTCTTTGCGTCTACGGTACACTTGGTCTAGTGGTAACGAATGCGCCTCGGACGGCAAAGGTCTTGGGTTCGAATCGGACAGGACCTGTTGTTTTTCAAACGAAATTTTCCGTTTCAAAAAAGTGTTGCTTATTATTTGTCTGCAGAAGTTTTGTTGGCTTAGTTGCCATATCGTAGAATTATTTTTTTGAACTGTACGCAAGTTAACTTGTACTGTCTTGTAGTTTTAAAAATTTTTCTACTATGTTATTAAGCTTGACTTCGTGTATTTTCTTTTTTTTTTGTTTTGTTTTGCTTAAGTTTTCATACTTCTCAAATAGTTTCGGATTGTTTCATTTTACGTCTTTCGATGAGCGAAAAAAAAAATTATGGCCTGTATTAGTTTGTCTTTGTGACCTCATTTTGTTTCATTTGACTAGCAAATAAATTTTGCGTGTGGGTGTTTTGAAGGTGAGTGGGAGTTATTGACTTTCTGTAAGTCCTAAGTGTTGTTTTTCTTCGGCTTAGAATGTTTCTGCTAAGGTATTTTTTGGGTTTATTGCAGCTTAATAAATTTTCTTCTGATTCTAATTTCATATTATGTTGTCTTTGCATCTTTTCGTTTCAAAACTAGCATTATTTATTTTGATAGATCTAATTTTTATTTGAAATTTTCGATTTTTTCCGACTTAGCGGCTTTCTTTTTTTGTATCGCAAGTGGTGCGAAGCTCAGCCTCGCCTCTGTGTTATATTTCTAATTTGGCGAATTAAAACTAAAGGCCTCCTGTAATTATTTGATTTATTAATTATATGAAGGTGCGAGCAGGTTGAAATTTTGACATAATATGCAAAATGGTCCCCAACTTCAATCTTCTGATAGTAAGCGGAATTGCCACAATACTCCGTTTTTTGGTCGAAGTTCCGGATACAGCGGGTAAAATGAGCCGATGTTTTGTTGATTTTTTATGAGTTTGATTAAAATAAGTTCAAAATTGGTTTCGCTGAAAGTCTTTATCAGATCTCACTGATTAATTTTTTTCTCAAAGACTGAGCGTTTTGGATTCCTAGAAGATGTTATGTACCTCCTTATACCTCATTTCGCATTAGTCAGATCAGCCTTAAGAGAAACATTTTTTCTACAAAATATTTTATATTGACGTTGAAACATGCGATAATTTGTGTAGATTAGTTAACTTGGATCAGGGTCGGGTTTTGGGGAGATTTTGCTGAGATTCCCATAACTTTTTTTTGTGATTTTGCCAAAAACTTGTAACAAATCTAATAATCGCTTTGAATATAACCCATATATTTTTCTCTGCATGTTCTATATAAAATTATGTAAAAATAATTTCATGGTGGTAATTAGAAAGTAACATAAATTTGAACATTTTCAGTCGACAATATTTGATTGATACCTACTGCTGAGATCAAGAAATATAGAGCTCGTAGATACCACTGAAATGTACAGAAGACGTTAGGACATACAAAAAGCTTTAAAAAAACATACAGTACTGATTTAAATTATCCGGACGGAACGAACATCATTGAAAATTTTAAACGCCTTTTTATTCAAATTGGTTTAAGAATAGACAAAAGCGAAGCGAACTGAAGGAAGCTGAACTAACGAGTTGATTGATGAGATAATTGTACCAAAAGGAGCTTTATACACAGCTCAACAAATTTCCGTAAAGGTAAAATTCCCCAAAGTTCGCGCAAAACATTTTCAATTTGTTTCAAAGCGAAGATTTTGAGTTTTCTATAGCGAACATAACCTTTTTTTGACTATAAGCAAAAACACATTCTCTTATACAGATTTTTGGAATTTTTACCTTTCTAGAACTTTGCTGGGCTGCGTAAAAGGCTGCTTTTGCTATAATTATCTCATCAGTTAATTCGGTAGTTTTTGATTAATCAAGCGTAGTTCTTCATTAACTAAAACAATTTAAATTGGCCCGTTTTTGGTAAATTTTTGGTTCTGAATTTCGCAAAACAAATAGCATCATATTAATTCTGGCAAAATTCTAAGCAACCCCTCCTGTCCACCTTTGTGAACAACACCCCCTTTCCACCTTTGACTTCTAAGTTGAACCTTCACAACATAAACCACAAAAGAAAATCCAAATTTTCCTCAATATCAATCATGTTTTACTTTTGTTTAGTTTCTCTGAAGATGATACGACAGAGGATGACGAGACATTACCACATGTCCCGGACGAAATAGAGGTGGAGACCGTGTAGCCGTTCCAGGCCTCGTTCGAGGAGTCGGTGGTCTTGAGGAGTGTCTCTGACTTCGAGGAGTTCTCGAGCAGTGACGAGGAATAGAACACTACATTGGCCGCTATTGCGATCGGGCACATGCGCGGGTACGTTATGGTCTGGATCGGCCATATAGACTCTAGTGACGACAATTGGGCAAGCGGGCGCAGTCGCGGAAGAGCAGCGCCATTGAGTTTGGCAACGTCACTCGCCGGGACTAATCTTCCAGGCCGCGGTCGAGCAAAAGAAACGCTGAGTCATCCCAGCCTGGGGTCGGACCCTCAAAAGGTCCGAAAGGCTCAAAATCTCAAAATATTATACTAAAATATTTTGACTTATTTTTTTTTAGCTGTCACTCATAAGCGCTCATCAGTGCAGTCACTCATCAGTGCTCTTCCCTCGCTCTGAATTTTCAATCCTCTCTACCCTCATCTAGTGTTGACGAGTCCCAAAGGTTCAAAATCTCAAATTATATTACTAAAATATTTTATGACTAGTTTATTGGAAAACTGTTTTTTTTTGTGCAAATGCCGTCTCAGTATCTTGGTGCTACACTATGCCTACCCACAATATGCCTACCCTCACTTATCAGTAAAGGTTCAAACTCTCAAATCTCAAAATAGTAAAATATTTTGTGACTAGTTTATTAGAAAACTGTTTTTTTTTTCAGTGCAAATCGCCGTCTCAGTATTTTAGTACTACATGCAAATGCTGTCAGTCAGCTCCCACTCTACGACCCTCATAACACACTTTTTATCAGAGACAGAAAGCCAGTCATCAGCCATCTAGTAATTTTTTCAATTCAAACTAATTTTACCAATTATTTTATGACTAGGTTTTTATTAGAAAACTGTTTTTTTTTAGTGCAAATGCTGCCAGTCAGCTCCCTCTCTACCTCATAGTACAGTATTTTGTCAGAGTCACAAAGGCATTCATCAGCCATCTAAGGTTCAAATTTTCAGAATCTCAAAATATTTTTACTAAATTATTTTATGACTAGGTGTTGATTAGAAAACAGTTTTTTTTTTCTAGTGCAAATGCAGTTAGCCTGATTCCGCCTCAGTACTTCAATTAGGTCTCGCCTCAGTCAGATCCCGCTTCTCTAGCTCAGTAAACAGTGCCATTTTCCAGTCATACAGTGTCTATTTTTTTAGCTGTCACTCATAAGCGCTCATCAGTGCAGTCACTCATCAGTGCTCTTCCCTCGCTCTGAATTTTCAATCCTCTCTACCCTCATCTAGTGTTGACGAGTCCCAAAGGTTCAAAATCTCAAATTATTTTACTAAAATATTTTATGACTAGTTTATTGGAAAACTGTTTTTTTTTGTGCAAATGCCGTCTCAGTATCTTGGTGCTACACTATGCCTACCCACAATATGCCTACCCTCACTTATCAGTAAAGGTTCAAACTCTCAAATCTCAAAATAGTCAAATATTTTATGACTAGTTTATTAGAAAACTGTTTTTTTTTCAGTGCAAATCGCCGTCTCAGTATTTTAGTACTACATGCAAATGCTGTCAGTCAGCTCCCACTCTACGACCCTCATAACACACTTTTTTATCAGAGACAGAAAGCCAGTCATCAGCCATCTAGTAATTTTTTCAATTCAAACTTATTTTACCAATTATTTTATGACTAGGTTTTTATTAGAAAACTGTTTTTTTTAGTGCAAATGCTGCCAGTCAGCTCCCTCTCTACCTCATAGTACAGTATTTTATCAGAGTCACAAAGGCATTCATCAGCCATCTAAGGTTCAAATTTTCAGAATCTCAAAATGTTTTTACTAAATTATTTGATGACTAGGTGTTGATTAGAAAACTGTTTTTTTTTCTAGTGCAAATGCAGTTAGTCTGATCCCGCCTCACTACTTCAACTAGGTCTCGCCTCAGTCAGATCCCGCTTCTCTAGCTCAGTAAACAGTGCCATTTTCCAGTCATACAGTGTCTTCATTGTTCAGGCTTCTCTTAAATTTCAAGTGCTCAGCATGTCTCATTCTCTATCTCTCTAAAACTGTAGAATTAGTTCAGTATCTTTTATGCCAAAACTTCATTTTCAGCCTTTAGTCAGTTAGCTCTTCGAAAGGCTAAATCACTATAACTTAAAAATTTTTGTCATAAAGTTTCGGCTGCTTTGTTGAGTGTATTGCCGCTCAACATTGAATGTTTCATCGGAAGGGGACGAGACTCATACCCTAACTGTAACTCCTATTCCTGCAGGTCACTGTCCAAGTTCAGTTATGTTCTTATTAGTTTCCGAAGAGAAATCTGTTCTTTTTACTGGCGATGTCAGATAGCAAGTTGGTCATACGAAGCGAATAAATCATCTTTTGACAATTTACAAGAAGATGCTGTTCGCATTTTTGATAATATTTACATCGACACAACATTTTGCTAAACAGATTCCAGTTTTATACCTTGTAAAGAGAGCTGTCTTTCAGTCATCTTTCAAGCCGTGTCCGCGTGGCCCATTTAATTTCAAAAGTGTGATCCGTTTTTGTAACAAAACTCGCTACGGTTTTGAGTTTTTGATGAAAAAGGTTACACTTAGATTCAACACTAAATTTCACGTTTCATTATGTCAGTATGAACTACAAATTTGTTCCCTCAGTTCAAAATTGGCTCACCTGGCTCAGTTTTTTTTTTTAATTATTCAAAGAAATTAGATATTAAAAAATTCCAGAAAATTTGAATTCTTTCTATGTGAGGCTCTGGCAGGGTTTTCCCAGAAGTTGCAAATTCTGTTTCCAAATATGACTACGCAAATCCTTGTAGTTTCCAAGATATGACGTTTTTGTGATTTTTTCAAAAAAAAATTTCAGAAAAAATAAATTTGATTTTTTTTAAATTTCAAATTCCTAACCCTGTACTTGAAGCGCTCAATCTTTTGTAGTTCCTGTAATTTTACTGGTTTTTCAAAAAGAATTTTTCAGAAAGTTTAACTTTGAAGTATCTCTGAATTTGAAATTCTCAACGCTGTAGTTGGGCACTGTGAGAGTACTTTTAGGAATTGCAAATCTTGCGTTCAAATGCGACTTTTTAATGATTTTAGTTTCCCGGAGGTGAAGTTTTATGCCATTTTAAAATATTTTTTTTTATAGAAGTTAGATATAAAAAGCTTCAGTATTTCATGGTTTTCAAACTTTGTATTAAAAAAAGCTTGAATAAAAAAAGGTTTTACAAAATTTGAAAATACCAACTTTGTAATTGGGTTCTGTCAAATTACCTTCAAAGAATCCACATCTTATTTCCAAAATATGCCGTTTCTTATAAGTTGTTAAAATTTGGAAGCACCGGAGGTTCGTTACACGCTAGTTATATTGAAAAAAAATACATGGAAAAAAATTACACGAGGTGGAAAAGAAATTGCCTGACAATTTTCCTGATAAAATTGCCATTGACGGATGGAGCAAGGGCTCCAGCCACTTCGTTAACGATAGTTTTGCTTCTTACCTTAGCAGCGTACCTATGGATTTTATACTGTTTACTTGCATTTTGCCTATGGTTGGCGAAACTTGCTTTTCTGCGGCAGATAGTTTCAAGTTAATTGAGTATGTCCTAAGTTTGTACAACAAAAACTTTAACAATGTTGTCGCCTTTAATGCAGAAATAAACAAGCCATTTTTGGAAGAGTCTGCATATGGGGCAACTTTCATGGACTACTTTCCTAATGCAAACTCTAAGAGCGTCTTGTCAAGCTCATTTCTGTAGCTATGGTATTACAGAGAGAGACGTTGGAATTATATGATGCTAGAATCTGATTCGATAAATTATTGGCGGAGATATTTGAAACCAATTTCTCAAATTCTACATCGGTGGCGTATCGATCCTGGAGTAATTAAAATTTTGATGGAATATTGAACCCAGCTATCTTCAGAGGCAGCTCAAGCCATTAAAGAGTTGAAAGTTGACTCATATGTGTCTAATGCCCTTTCCATAGATTCAACTGACAGTAGTGGATTGGATCTTTGTGCTTGAAAAACGCAAAATGGAGGAATCCACGAAAGGGAAAAAATATCTCAACTGTTAGTTTACTTTACCGACTTCAAATATCGTGAAAAGACTTTTCAGTTCCACAGGTTACCCGTTTTTTGACTTGCGACAAGGTTTGTTATCAATGAACTTGGAAAAATAGATTTTTATCAAAGTTAATTGCGCATTTTGAGACGAGAAGCTGTTGTCATAGATTTACAATGCAGATGAGACTAGTCACCACGTCGATTTGAAGGATTGCTGCAAGTGCAGTTATGATTTGACTGATGTTTTTGAAGTATGTCTTTAAATAAAAGTTCAAGTTCAGTTGATTCCTTGAATTTTGAATTTTTAACATTTTTGCGTGAATTCTTTTCATTTGAGAAATATTTGCAATTAATTGGATAATTGATTGGTATTGTAATAATTGATTGGTTAACTGATTTATAGAGAAATAATTGATTGGTAAGCATCCAATTACTGTTCTAAAACCGCTGACTAAGTTATTTCACGTAATTTTTTCAACGATTTGTATTTGTATCACAGAGTTGTGTTAGTTTGGTTGCCGATTTCTGTTTGAGACGCTGAGTTAAAAATAAGCTGATAATCAGTAGCGGATTTAGGGGAGGGCGGGGCTGGCGGACGCCCCCCGCCCCTCAGGGATTCGACCCCCTACTGACCCAAAGGGTCACCCCTTTGTACTATTTTGAGATATCCAGTTTTGCATCCAATTACTGTTCTAAAACCGCTGACTAAGTTATTTCACGTAATTTTTTCAACGATTTGTATTTGTATCACAGAGTTGTGTTAGTTTGGTTGCCGATTTCTGTTTGAGACGCTGAGTTAAAAATAAGCTGATAATCAGTAGCGGATTTAGGGGAGGGCGGGGCTGGCGGACGCCCCCCGCCCCTCAGGGATTCGACCCCCTACTGACCCAAAGGGTCACCCCTTTGTACTATTTTGAGATATCCAGTTTTGGCTGACTGACCTGAAAATTTTTCTAAAGGCGCTTTTGGCGCCAATTTATACTAATTTTGAGGGAGGAGCGCGCGCCGAAAAAACGTTTGGCCTTTTTTTCGAAAATTTGCCCATCGGCGCAGAAAATTTGGTCAAATTAGGGTCTTTATAGTGGTTTGGAAGAGCTCAGAAAATCAGTTTGGTCGACCTAAAAAAAAGTCGACAAAATTTTCAATTTTGAAAATCCACCCCCCTGTAGAAATTCATAGATCTGCGCCTTCTGATGCTTATTGTTTTCTGGTTAAGAGTATATAAGTAAGTATTTAGGTATGTAACTAAGGATTTTAGTGCTTGTGTATGTATGTACGCATGCAGGGGCGGATTTAGGGGGGGGACGCCCCCCCCCCCTCAGGTATTCGACCCCCTGCCGACCCAAAGGGTCCCCCCTTTGATACTTTTTCAGAAATCCATTTTTGCCCGACCGACCCTAAAATTTTTCTAAAGGCGCCTTTGGCGCCAATATATACTAACTTTGAGGGGGAGCGCGCGCCAAAAAAACGCGATTCTTTTGTCAAAATTTTTCAAAAAGTGCCCAAAAACGGCTTTCTTGACTGTTATTTCAAAAATTTGCTAGCGGCGCAGAAAATTTAGCCAAAATAGGGGCAAAACGCTGCTTAGGGAGAGCTCGAAAAATCAATTTGGTCGACCTAAAAAAAAAGGTCGTCAAAATTTTCGTATTTTTTTTGAAAATCCGCCCCCCCTCGAGAAAATCCTAGATCCGCCCCTGTATGCATGTATGTATGCAGGGGCGGATCTAGGGTTTTCTCGAGGGGGGCGGATTTTCAAAAAGTTTTTGAAAATTTTGTCGACCTTTTTTTTTAGGTCGACCGAATTAATTTTTGATTTTTCGAGCTCTTCCTAAGCACGATTTAGTCCCCATTTTGGCCAAATTTTCAGCCGTTTTTAAACATTTTTCAGAAAATTTTGACCAAAAAATTGCGTTTTTTCGGCGCGCGCTCCCCCCTCAAAATAAGTATATATTGGCGCCTTTAGAAAAGTTTTAGGGTCGCTCGGCCAAAAATGGATTTCTTAAAAGGTACCAAAGGGGGACCCTTTGGGTCGGCAGGGGGTTGAATAAATCCGACTCTGGTCGGTACAATACATGTTATTTGTGCGTTTATTCTACTGTATTGCTTCATGTTTTCATTTTTCTAACATCTCATGATGGTCTAGCTGATGGTCTATCGAACAAAACACGGTTGATTATATGCGGCGTGTCATTGTCATAATATCATACTTGTTATACAATTATATCATACTTCTCAGTAAGCAGATTATTTTAATTGTAATGGCATTAACTGGCTGAAAAAGAAGGGCGAGTAGTTTTCGGGTCAAATGGTGAGCTTCGATGCAGTTTCTATATAGGAATTAATAATAATAATTTTATTTTCAAGCCAAAATTTCTAGCCATACATTCTATGAAAATGTTCGTTTACAATTTAGTTCGGCTTGGGAGAATACCAAAAAGGCATCAGCCTGTCGAGTGGCATCTCCATTAATGGAATTCCAGTCAAACAATGGTTTATGTTTCTACTATGACATTTGGAGATTTAAAATTTTAGACTAGACAAGAGAAGCTCCCTGGTTTTCAAGTAACTTGAATAAGTTGTTGAAGTACTAAATTTTCACCAAATTAATTTTTGTTATAATTATTTTTTGATGAAAAAAAAGCAGTTCCAAATTGTTCATGATGTATCGCTTTATTATTTTTTCTATATAATGGATTGCCTCTATGTAATGGATTTCTATATAATGGAAATTTGTCTGCTTGCCGATGTGTCTACTTATTTGACTGTCTGCTTACTGTTATAGAAGAATGATGTGTCATTTCAGGACAATAATGACTGTTGGTATTGGTATTTTAAATGATGTCGCCATAGTTATGCAACTTTTGAACCGTGGGTTTTGAGCACGCAAATGTTCTATTATTACAACATTTATTTGCAAATAATTCAGCTTAGAAGGCCACTGCGTTGATTTGATTCTGTCTTTCTGTGGTTCTGATGGAACTGGATCATTCGGAGGAAAAATTGGAAATGACTATTCGAAAAGGTGGAATTCCAAAAGTTGGAATAACAATTCTAACAGCAGCAATTTCTCTAATCGACCCGGACCATCGAAAGAGATCTGGGCTGAACTTTCCAGGAATGGTATGTCTCGGCTACATTTACTTCGTAGAGAACGGAGAAATGACATGTACTGAATGTGGCTACAGTTTCCGAGTGCAAGACGGATATTTTCTGGACGACCATCTTATGAAAAATTCCGCATGTCTAATTGCATACAAAGGTGGTTTTACCTTGAATCCGCTGTCTCAAAGTTCGTCACAAATACATGGCGCTCAGATTGGCATACATTCAGCCAGTCGCACTCAAGGGACGCTCGATTTTTGTGCAGTTTTGACTAAAAGTTCGGAAATAAACAGACTTAACAGCAATGATCTCGTTTTTATTGGTCCAAAAGAAGAAAAAGACGCTGTGACGATTTACTCCGAGATGCTCTCAGATACAGATGAAACTTTAGACAGTTATGTTATCAGCTCCAATAGAGAAGAAAGCTTAAAGTCTTCATTTTGCGCATCTCTGGTTAAAATATTAGCGTGTCTTGGATTTTACTGCTCGTCTGAAAATGAAATTATGATCCAATGCTTCTTTTGCAAGTTTCAAACGACCTTTAATTCTCTAAGATTACTCTTTGTATCTCATAAACTGTTTTCACCAAACTGTGAAACAAGTATTTTCGCTAGCTTAGAAGAGCCTCCGACGAATGATTACAATACGTTAGCGGTTACATTGTACTCCAATTTGAAAACATTTGGCCTTAGGTGGAGTCATGGGGAAGAAATGGCGTTCAAAAGTGCAATAGCTGGTTTCAAATATGTGAACAAAACGGACTGTTTATGTTGTCCGGATTGCTATGTCGACATCCCGGCCAGAGAGTTAAACTCATTTTCGTATTCTAGCTTACATCAAAGTCACAAGGCTACATGTATTCAAATAAAATCAGTATCAGAAGACAAAACGTTACATGGTGGAAATGACGAAACAGTTTCTAACATAATTCAGGAATTATTAGAACAATGTGGCTCATTTTTAATGAACACTAGCGATAATGAAAATACTTTGCAGTCGAATATGCTGCACATTTATCAAGAATCCTTTATTTCCACGCCTTACTCCTTAAAGCAATGGCAGAATATTTACGAGACGTTACAAAACAACTCAGACACGTACCACAACCAGAATGAGAGAAATTTGGATTTCAATCGAAAAATACTCTCCAATTTGACCTCAAAAGAGCGTCTAATGACCTCGAATGTCATGTTATCTTCTGAAGGTCAACTAGGCGTGACCTGTAGTGTATGTTTAGAGCAAGCTGTTGAATGTCTCTTCAGCAATTGTGGCCATGCGTGCACGTGTAATGAATGTGTGATGAAGGTTGCCTCATGTCCCATATGCAGGTCCAGAATTGGAGGAGTTTTGCCCGTGAGAGTCAAGGTGTTATGAATAAATAGTCATTTGTACGCTCATAACATGTTTTGAATCTTCTTGCTAATTTCGCGCGTTCCATTTTATTTTCGCTCGTCCGTTTTTGTATTACTCGTATTTATATAAATAAATAATACATGGGGGTTAGGAAATTAGACGATAAGCAAATTAGACGTGACCAACAAAAACGAATTTAGACGTTAAACTATTTTTTGCAAAGCTAGCATTTTAGACGGAAAGCAAAGGGCTAACAAAACTTATTGCTTAAAACAAGTTTTCATAATTACAAAAATAATATATGATCCCATTGCATATCAAAATTTTTATCTCAATTGATTTACAAAATGTTAATTTCAAGATTATAAAACATTTTTGAAATGCATAAATTATACAACGCGGCATGGGAAAATGCGGAATGTGAAAAAAGAAACGAACAATACAATAACGTCTAATTTCCCATATTTGTAATTTTGCATCGACGTCCAAATTCGTTTTTGTTGGTCACGTCTAATTTGCTTTTCGTCTAACTTCCTAGGCCCCATAATACATACATAAGGCATTGTAATCAAATGTATTATCTGACAATTGAAATTATATCTGAAATATATTATCTGAAAATTGTCTTTAAATATTGAAAGTGTGGCAGCCAAATCTGAATTTCTGAAATAGGGTAGGGGGAAGTTAACGAGATTCAATTTTTTCTAGAAGAAATAACTTTCATGTTGAAATTTCATGTTAAAATTATTTCATTGCACTAACCATTGATTGGAAAAATAAAGATTTTAAAGCTTGAACAGTTTTTCAATCAATGATGCTTTTTAAGAACTATGAACGTGGGGAAGACTCGTAGTTAGGAATCGCAAATTTTGTTTCCGAATATGACTGCTCAAAGCCTTGTAGTTTCCGAGATACGACGTTTTTTATGGTTTTCTCCGAAATTTTCAAAAAAAAGGTTAAAAATTCCAAAACCTTGAAGATCTCAATACTGTTATTGGAATATGTGAGAGTACTCTCAGGGGGTTGCGCTACTTGTCACTGAATATGGCTGCTCAAATTTTTGTAGTTTCCGAGATATGACGTTTTTTAGAGCTTTCTCAAAAAAGTTTCATGAAAATTATTTTTTTTTCAAAGTTTGAAATTCCTAGCCTGTAGTTGGAGGCAGTCAGAGTAATCTCAGGGGTGCAAATTCGGCCTCCAATTAAGAAAGCCCAAACCTTTTTAGCTTAAGAGATAAGACGGTTTTTGTGATTTTTTTAAGAAATTTTCAGAAAACTCATTACAAAATAATTAACTAAAGTGAAATTCCCAACCCTGTAGTTGTGTGCTGTCAGAGTACTTTCAGAGATTGCAAATATAGTCATCAAATGAGAAAGCTGAAATCTTGGTAGTTTTCGAGATGTGAAATTTTTTTGGTTCTCAAAAAATAACTTTAGTTGGGTACTGTAAGAGTACTCTCAAAAGTTGCAAATCTTGCGTCCAAATGCGACTACTCAATTGCTTTTTGTTTCCCAGATGTGACTTTTCATAGTTTTTTAAAAAATTTGCGAAGAACTTATATAAAACTTCACAAAATTTCATGGTTCTTCAAAATTTGTATAAAAAACTTGAATAAGAAACTTGGAAAGTTGGTAATTATGAACCATGTAATTGGGTGCTGTCAGAGTACACTCACTTATTTCTGGTACTCTTAATAAACGGCATATATTGGAAATAACATCTGCTTTTTTCGAGTGTACTCTGACAGCACCCAATTACAAGACTCTAAATTACAAATTTTGCAGATTTTATTATCAAGTTTTTTATACGAGTACCGGAGGTGCGTTTCACGCTAGATGTAATCTTAATGTTTGTGACTTAGTCTCACTAAATAGTGTCAAATAAAAAAGCAGGCCAGTCTACTACAGGACAAATTGCATTCATTTTTTGAATAGATCAAGTTATCTCTAGTGGACAAGCGGCTTTTCCCCATGAAACAAACACCAGTGTCACCACGAAGACTCTGGGGAAGAAATGGCAGAAAAACCTCTTAAAAAGAATTTTAAGGAAAATGCTCAGTGCTCATCCCATAGCCTAGCAGACAAGAAGTGCGCCCAGCACGACAGAGACCCCAGTTCGAATACCCAGCTAAATAGTGTCAAATAAAAAAAGCAGGCCAGTCTACTACAGCACAAATTGCATTCATTTTTTGAATAGATCAAGTTATCTCTAGTGGACAAGCGGCTTTTCCCCATAAAACAAACACCAGGGTTTGATTCCCTCTGGGAAATTTTTTTCCCATACACCACGAAGACTCTGGGGAAAAATGGCCGAAAAACCTCTTAAAAAGAATTTTAAGGAAAATGCTCAGTGCTCATCGGAGGTGCGTTTCACGCTAGTTGTAATCTTAATGTTTGTGACTTAGTCTCACTAAATAGTGTCAAATAAAAAAGCAGGCCAGTCTACTACAGCACAAATTGCATTCATTTTTTGAATAGATCAAGTTATCTCTAGTGGTCAAGCGGCTTTTCCCCATAAAACAAACACCAGGGTTTGATTCCCTCTGGGAAATTTTTTTCCCATACACCACGAAGACTCTGGGGAAACAATGGCAGAAAAACCTCTTAAAAAGAATTTTAAGGAAAATGCTCAGTGCTCATCCCCATAGCCTAGCAGACAAGAAGTGCGCCCAACACGACAGAGACCCCAGTTCGAATCCCCAGCTAAATAGTGTCAAATAAAAAAAGCAGGCCAGTCTACTACAGCACAAATTGCATTCATTTTTTGAATAGATCAAGTTATCTCTAGTGGACAAGCGGCTTTTCTCCATAAAACAAACACCAGGGTTTGATTCCCTCTGGGAAATTTTTTTCCCATACACCACGAAGACTCTGGGGAAAAATGGCAGAAAAACCTCTTAAAAAGAATTTTAAGGAAAATGCTCAGTGCTCATCTCCATAGCCTAGCAGACAAGAAGTGCGCCCAACACGACAGAGACCCCAGTTCGAATCCCCAGCATGACGGTTTTAGTTTTCTCAAAATTTGGAGAGTATCAAGGAACTTGGGTTCTTTTTGTTGAAATTCCGTTTAATTGTCTTTTATTAATAAACGCCCCTGAAAAAGCTCTGATTGGTTCAAAACCACCAAGATTTTACATAGCTAGCTAATATATAGCCTGTAGCAGTAGAACAGAATTGTAATTCACCTTGCACAACACAAAGATTTGGACGAACCGAGCAAAGGCTGGGATTATTATGAATTTTTTCTAACAACGAGGTATAACATTAGCAATACGCCAAGATAATTGGAACATTATTATAATCGCTTTGGCAATTGAGCTTTATAAATTGCATTTTTTTAGAACATTAAATTGAAAAGACATGTCTCCTGAGAGTTAACACAAAAATGTATAGTTCAACAGTTTGGAAGACCATTTTTTTGTTTTATAATTTTTTCTCAATGGGCTTATTTCGCCCTTGTCTAAGAGGCTTATAATTGAGAATAATGAATGAATCATCAATAATAAGTCTTTCATATTCCGAAAAACTAGAATATTCTGTTGAATGATATAAGCTTTAAAAAAAGATTGCTTTTATCAGGAACCAAATTGAAGATATCAAATCAGTAGATTCAGAAGTATCACCATTTGAAGTGTTTTGAATGTCTTGAAATAAGTTAAAAAAAAACTCACTGCGTTTCCTCCAACTTTTGTTGATTCCCAACCCGATCGTCTTCTGTAATAATTATTATAGTTTTGAAAGTCTTCACATCAATTTTTGCAGTGTTGTCAAGCTATTTTTTCAAACAGTTTTATGATAATTAGCGTCCAAATGCGACTGCGCAAATGCGTTTAGTTTCCGAGTTGTGACGTTTTTCAATGTCTTTTTAAGTGTTTTTTTTTAAATCAATTATAAAAAAAGCAATTTTAATTAGATGATTTCGAAAATTAGACAACTTTTGATATAAAAAGTTTCACAACTTTTGAAGTTGATATCTTTTTAGTGAGGCGCTGCCAGGTTACTCTGAGGGCTTGCGAAGCTTGCCTTCAAATCCGACTGCTCAAGTCCTTGCAATTTTCAAGATATTACGTTTTTCTGATTTTCCAAAGTTTTCAAACTCAAATTTGAAATTTTTTCAAAAATTGAAGCATCGAAACCTGTTTTTGGGTACTGTGAGAGTACTCACAAGTGTTGTAAAATTTGGGTCCAATGCGACTGCTCAATTGCTTCAAATTTCCGAAATCTGACCTTTAAATGCTTTTTTCAAAAATTTTCAAAGCACTTATTTTTCAATTTGCATTCATATGAAAAACTTCACAACATTTAAAATTACCAACTTTAGAATGAGGCGATTGTAGTGTCAAGGCTTTCTCAGACGTTTCAAAATTTCCTGCGAACTATGCGTAATCAAATCGTTTTAGTTTCTTAGATTTGAAGTTTCCTATGATTTTTTTCGAAATTTTTTTCCTGTATTTGGTCGAACCCTGTATTTGGTCGCTGTCAGAGTAGTCTTAAGGATTGTACATTCAATTCCAGATATGACTGTGAAATTCTTTTTAGTTTCCTATACCTGACATGTTTTCATTGTTTCTCGAAAAAGCTTGAATTAAAAACTCAAAGAACTTTATCCTTAGTGGCCAAGCGGCTCGGAATTTTGCCCATAGAATAAACACCAGGGTTCGATTCTAGCATGAAATTGTTTTCAAGTTTTTTCGATTCGCCTGGAAAACTCTGGAAAAAAACTGGTACAAAAGCAAAAAAAACCTCAAGAGGAAATTAAAGGAAAATGCTGAGGGCGCACCCCCATAGCCTAGCAGACAAAAAACGCGGACCCCACGACACAGACTCCAGTTCGAATCTGAAGCATTACGGTTTTAGTTTTTTCAAATGTCGCAGAACATCAGAAATATGGGGTGTCTTGTGTCAAAATTCATTTAAAATGTCCTTCATAAAAACGCTCCAAAAGATTTTCGGTTAGATTTAGGGTGCGTCGTATAAATTAAGTCATAGTCCCTTAAACCACTCGGATTAAACCTGAGGTCGCCGGAGCTCAAACTAATTTATACGTCTAGGGTTTTTTGAAATGTTGTTAATTACTGAAATTTTCAAGCGTTTCGGTCAAGGGCGGTACGTTTTGCTAAAAAGTCCATTTTTGACTCTTTTTCGGTTTTTGCAATTTTTTGATAGCGGGACTTTAACCAGGTTCGAACAAATTGGGTCTAAAATATTGGCCCAAAATATCGCAAAAAACTATAAAAATCGCTTTTATACTAGGGTTCAAAATCTTGACACAAAAGTTTCACAAAAATTTGAGTTA